TCTACATACACTCAGACACGCATACATTACCACTCTCTGACATCTGTTCACTTCATCCCGCTTTTTCTTACATTTTAATAAATCCCCCCACACCCCAGCACCATACATTACAACCGGCTCAAAATACCCTAGCGAAAGATATAAAAAATATTTTCAAATAAAGTTTAATAAAAACTAAAAAAAAATTATAAAAATGAATAACATTTGATAATTACTGATAAACTTTGTATGTTTTGGAACATTTATTTTCGATCTTATTAAATTTTATTTACATTTATTAAATAAAAATTGAAAAAAATTTTTTTTATCGATTTTTATTAGAAATAATCTCTAATTATCAAAACATAGAAAAAGAAGATGCTGAAATTTTTTTATTTTTATCAAATTTTATTTTGTTTTGTGTATCAAAATTTATTTTCATTTTTTTTTAATACATATTTTTCAAAATCATCTGTAATTATTAGAACATTGAAATACATAGTTGTGAAATCTTCATCGTCATTTTCATACATAATTATAATCGATTGATGTTTCGTTTTGAAACTTGTTATTTTTTTATTTTTATCAATATCATTCACCCAAAGTTCCCCGAAGAACATTACTAATACACCGTGATCTGAAAGTAGTCGAACAAAATAAACAGACGTGTTCTTCGAAAAATTTGGGATTGAAAACCTCTTTAGCGTTTTTCTCAAAACCCAATGGTTTGCGAGAAAAACGACGTAGTGAAGTCATTATTTTAATGAATGAAATGTCCTGGCCGAGTCCTGCGAATTGGGGGTCATGACGATAACAAAGCACGACTCGATTAAATGAACTTCATAAAAATTAAAAAAAAAATACAGCAAAAAAATTGCAAAAGCTGTCGATTAATTTGAAAAGTCGAAAGCTTAGAGCTCGTGGCGAAGTGGTGGGTTTTCCACGCCCTGGCGATGATGTAGCAGCTGCGCGACTAGCGAGGCTGTCTCGATGTTGGCGAAATTCGAAAAAATTTCTGAAAACTTACTCTACTTGTCGCAAAAGCTGTGGATTAATCTTGAAATTCGAAAGCTGGGAGCTCGTAGTTAAGTGGTGATTTTTCACGCCCTGGCGATGATGCATCAGCTGCGCGACTAGCCAGGCTGTCTCGATGTTGGCGAAATTCGAAAAAATTTCTGAAAATTCCATGCAGTGCTCGCAAAAGCTGTCGATTAATCTTAAAATT